GACGCAGAAGTGTATCCATTAAGAGAGAGAGGTTTTATACATCATGATTTTATCACCATCAGATGTATAGCTTGACACATCTCAAAAGATATATTGGATAATAAAGATATTGATTATGAACATATTTTATGGAAACAATGTTCTGGAAAACTAAAATTCATTTAACAAAAGAAAGAATAAAAGACGTAGGAAGGAGAAACGATAAAGAAGATACGTGGGACCTATTTTATTTTGTATTTTAATTAAAAAATATATATTATATTTTTTTAGTTGGTTCATTACTTAGTTAAAAGGGAACTGATTAGTTTTAGTTGGCAAAAAGAGTTAATGAAAACTGTCTGAGTAGTAGAAACTGTTTTTTTTGTGATATAATAAACTGTAAACTGCCTTAAAGTGATATTCTTTCTTGGTTAAACCCCATAAGAGATTCTAATTCTTTTTCTTTTATTATTATAATATAATTTTCTTCTTTGATTAAATTTATTTTCTTAAAAAAAAATACAAAACCAATAATAAGATGATATTAGAAAAATCATATGTTAAAATGTCTTAATCATATCTCTGCATAGATGTTGTATATCTTTCTCCTGAAATTTTCAATTGTATATAATTGCTTTTTGTTATGATACTTACCTTCATCTTCTCAATGGAGGTGTTTTTATACTTTAACTGTTTTGTACAAATAGAATAAATTTTTACTCTAGATTTAATTTTACTCTAGGATTTAAATTTACTCAAGATTCAGCCAAATTTTTACAAATTAAATAAATTATTGTTTTTATCAATTCAGCTAATTACTATATTTGTTTTCTTTTTTGTGTGAAACCAGCTAATTACTATATAGAAAGAGAAAAATACACCAATAATTTTACTCAGTCAAAGAAAATACATTTACTCTATTGTTTCCCGTTTCATTTTTTGCACATGTTTGTATCACGTTCCACTATTTTTACTTATTTATTTATTCCATTTTAAGGTGTTCAAAAAAAATATTTTATTTTATTTCTATTTTTTTGTTCACAACCGTAGATTTTGACTGGGTAAGAACTAGAGTAATATAGAGGCTATGGAAGGGTAAAATAGAGGCAAAATTATTGACTTTTGTGTTGTGTTTTATTACACTTATTTTCAGAGAGAAATAAAAGTATAAAAATAAAATAAATTATACTTTCCAACATAAATTTGAGTAAATACTTTTCATTTCTTTTTATCTTGATTGGCTACGTTTAAGTAGAAATGAAAGTAAACCTTTTCCCTCTTTTATTTTTTGTGCTAATTGTATTTTATATTCACACCCTGATTACATATGCTTTTTTTTTTTACTTTTAGATTAGGGAAGATTGCATAATATTTCTTTAAATTATGATGTTTAACTGATTCGCTTTTTGTGGATTTCTCCAACGCTCCTCACATATTTGTTTATAAACTATAATTCAAGTTAGCATAGCCTTAGCTGAGGATAAATATTAGTGTATCTTCTCTATTAAAAGAGAAGTACCAAAAAATCTACTGTACAAAAGTCATGTTGAACCATTTCATTAATTATTTATATGACATATTTGATTGTTTATATCAACCATTCAAATATATATTATTTTTAAAATATCTTAATAATTAATAAGCATATTAATAATAAATCGATTCAAATATAAAAAAAATTAAATCAGTTGAAAAAATCTAACAAGATCTTCCCAAAAGTTTAAAATATTTTTTTATAAAATAAGTATTTCTTAATTTTGTGATTAAATATAATGTACATTAATTTTAATTAAATAAAATTAGACGCTATATTTTGTACATTCTCTAATAATAATCTATATTATCTTACATTAAAATGATATATGCAATAAAATAAATTAGTAAAGTAACCTATTTTATTTTTTAAAACTGCTTTCGTCTAAATAAATATCACTAACTGTTCAAATGGGTTAAATTTTTTAAATCATATAATATTTTTTACAAAAAAAAATTGTTAACATATATATAATTTTGTAGCTCACAACAAAATATTATCTAAAAATATTTATAGATTATTTTGTTTATTTTTTTTAACTCCCAACAGTATTTAAAAATTATGCTATTAGAATATTTTGAAATTTTATTATTTATTAAAAAAAAATTACTAACAAATCCATTATAACAATAAATGTATTGTTTATTTACCCTTAAAATATTGAAAATATAAATTACTGAAATTTGATAAAAAGAATATTCAAAATTAAAATAAAAATGCATTAATTTAATAAAAATAATATTCAAAATTAATATAATCATCCAAACTCAAAAATAGTTGTCTAATTTTCCAAATTAATATTGATAAGATTTATAATTTTAAAAATAAATCTTCCAAACTCATTATGATATTCAAATTTTACAAAAGATAAAATATTAAGTCCTAAAGTATATTTTTTGATATGCCACACGAAAATAAAATATTTTGTAAAAATTGTAATAGTATAATATTTGAAATTTTAACTCATTAATTAAAAAAATCAGAAAACTTAGTAATAACTTAATACTCTAACATTAAAATAGCATCATATATCGATTAAATTACTAAAATAATACTATAGATGCTGTTATGCATAACATTTATTAAAATAATATGACTAGACTACTTAAATAAAATATTGTAGTTACTTATAAAATCATACAATATACCAGAATTATAGATTTTAAGTATATTTTTAAATAAAATATGAAAGCATAAGTTATTATAAACAAAATATCATTCTACTGTATAACTAAATAAAATTTAAAAATGTATTGTATGCAAACTATCAAAATTAGAAAAAGTATGTTTTGTGCATGATTTTCTATTTATCTATTTTAAATTATGAACTTATTGTAACTGAACTCAAAAATATATTAATATGCAATAATAATTAATAACAAAGTTTAATGCATACAAAAAACCATTATATATTAATTATGTTGAATAAGAAACTTAAAATAATAAGATTAAAGATTCATACAAAATATACAACTAAAATATAAATCATATAATTAAATATATTTTTATAAAATGAAAAATATACCCGTACGGATGTGCGGGTCAAATTCTAGTTCTACCTTAAAACAACTTTAGTTTTGCTACAAATATACCTAAATCACAACTAGATATAGTTCTTCATTTTTTGAATTCAGAATAACATTATCTACTTTATATATATTGATCGAAATAGTTTTTGAAGATTAATGTTTAAACATTATGTTAACATAAATATTAACTAAGGGTAATTGCAAATAATTGATCGTTTGGATCTCTTTACACTATCTGTATTATCGATTTTATAGCTTATATATAAATCTTAGTTGCGAGAGAAATAATTTTGTAAGTCTGTTTGGTGTGAAATCATTTATTCATTTATGTTACTATTTACTAGGATAAGTTGATAATTTATGGTAAGGCTATTTGCAATGATAACACTATTTTTTCTTTAGAATAGAGTAATTTTATAATAGAGTTAATTGTTGTTATCATAATATTATATTTTAAAATGAAAAATAGAATAAAAATAAAAAATAAGTTATTTTATATGTATAATAAATTTATTTTTCACTATATTATAAAGTAAAAAATAGAATACAATTGTAGCATTTTTATTTTAAATTTTATTTTTGAATAGAAAATAGAGTGAGATCGGAGACGGATGCTCTATTTCAGATCGCTAACATTATGTTTTCAGGATCAATCTATTAAAATATTTAATCTGTTTCCTTAGAATGTAGGCATCTTTTGTAAACGCGTAGACTATCAGCAAGTCGACTATTTCACCGTTTTCTTGTTCTTTTTTCTAAGTGCTTTATTTATTTTCTACATGTACTTTTTATATTAAGTTGAATCCACCCCGATTCACATATATGATTAAAAACATTTCACAATATTTTGTTTTCATCAAAAAACATTTCACTGTATATAAATATCAATAAAACATAATGTGGTGAGAAAAAAAAAAGTCAGCAAATAAAATTGGTCCAAATGTTCACACATAAGAACATGTGTAGGGAGTCACATGGGGCACTCTCTTGTTATTTCCTCGCACCACACGACAAACCGAAGTGGGGCTGTCCTCTTGCTGAACCAATGTGCTAAAATTCCTTAGTTATTTGAGTCATTTTGTAACTTTGTTATATACTTTTTCACAACGAATGTCAAGTAATAGAACCGTCACTGCTATTTTATTACAAAATTCCAGTTAGTTAGTTCATGTTTGGTAGTCTACGCGTTTTCAAAAAATTCAGTTTACTATATATTTTCAATCGAATATTATCTTAACTACTTTTAACGTTTTTCGAATACTTTTATGAACAATGGCGTTTGACATCTTTTACATAATTAAGAAAATATTTAAGCATATCGTAATCTACCTACTTTAGTATACCACATAATAACTTGAAATAAGTTAAATTTTAAATCAATTAAATTTTAATGAATTAGCTAGGTAGTTGCTCCAGAAATTCCTCAATAAATTCGTTAAATTTTCATTTTATAATAATCAAAACTATATATTTGTATATGCTAACCGAAAATTTGAATCTCAACATGTTGAATCTCAACATGTTGAATCTCTAAAGATAATTTAAGATAATGAAAACCAAAAGAAGTTAAGAAAACGACAAATTCGGATATCTAGTAGTAATGAATAAAACTTCACACAGTTTAATAAACAGATCTCGACTATAAAAAGAAGTAAACAACTGAAAGACTTTTTAAAGGCATTAAAAGTAAACTCTGTAAGAAGTTTCCCATATTGAATACTAATGGAGAACAATCTAACTCACACCAATGTGGTTTAAGCCCTAACTTGCACATCCTCCTTGTATTCTGGTAAAATCACACTCGTGTTAAGAAACTAATGTCACCATCACAACTACAACAGTACTTTTTTTGTCTTTTGGGTAAAACACAACAGTAGTTTATCTATTTGTTAATATTCTAGAAATAACTCGTTGATTTATATTATATCTTAATTACAGAAAAAGTGGGTTCCAACCAGCTAAATTTCTCTCTCTGTCTTTATAATCATAAGATCGTTCTTCAACTTTCTCAGGGCCAAAAAAAAGAACTATCCGAAACCCTCAAATCCCATATTTATTTTCGGTACTATAACATTTTCTTTCAAGCCCTTTCTTTGATCCATAGAGAAGGATCCACTGTCAAATCCAAATCAGTGAGAGTATTCCATTAAAAAAGACGAAAATGCCACTGTCGGCGACGGCTGATACAAGCAAGACGGTGAAGCTGGAGAGGTACAACAGCTACCTCCGCAAGATCCACAGCACAAAAGTTCTAAAGGCTTCTTCTAAAGTCCTTTTTCGAGCAACACTCCTCATCGCCCTAGTCCTTGTCCTACTCCTCGCACTCAACTACCATCCACACTCCGCAGCACACCCTCTCCACCGTCGTAGCTTCCTATCCACCGGACTCTTCTCTTCCTCCTCGTCCTCCTCTCTAGGAGAAGGAGCCGCTTGGGAGAAGCGCGTGAGACAATCCTCAACAGCAAAACGACAACATGGCCTCTCCGTCCTCGTAACCGGAGCTGCCGGATTCGTCGGATCTCACTGCTCAATCGCGCTTAGAAAACGCGGAGATGGAGTTTTAGGATTCGACAACTTCAACGACTACTACGATCCATCACTCAAAAGAGCGAGACAACAGCTCTTAGAGAAGAACCAAGTGTTCATCGTGGAAGGAGATCTCAACGACGGACCTCTCTTGCGTAAGCTCTTCGACATCGTCCCTTTCACTCACGTCCTTCACTTAGCAGCTCAAGCCGGAGTTCGTTACGCCATGAAGAACCCTCAGTCTTACATCAGTTCCAACATCGCTGGACTCGTTAACCTCCTCGAAGTAGCTAAAGCTGCTAACCCTCAGCCTGCGATCGTATGGGCTTCCTCTAGCTCCGTCTACGGACTCAACACCGAGAACCCTTTCTCTGAAGAACACAGAACTGATCAACCTGCGAGTCTATACGCCGCGACGAAGAAAGCAGGAGAGGAGATAGCACACACTTACAACCACATCTACGGTCTTTCTTTAACCGGACTCCGCTTCTTTACGGTTTACGGTCCATGGGGAAGACCAGACATGGCTTATTTCTTCTTCACTAAAGACATTCTCCACGGGAAGTCTATCGACATTTACCGAACTCAGGACAATCAAGAAGTGGCGCGTGACTTCACCTACATCGACGATATCGTTAAAGGATGTGTCGGTGCGTTAGACACGGCCGAGAAGAGTACCGGAAGCGGCGGAAAGAAGCGGGGACCGGCTCAGTTACGTGTCTACAATCTCGGGAACACGTCTCCGGTTCCCGTGGGGAGATTGGTTTCGATATTGGAAGGGTTGTTAGGGACGAAAGCGAAGAAGCATCTGATCAAAATGCCTAGAAACGGTGACGTGCCTTACACGCACGCGAATGTGAGCTTAGCGTATAGAGATTTCGGGTATAAACCGACGACGGATCTCGCGGCGGGGTTGAGGAAGTTCGTCAAGTGGTACGTTAGTTATTATGGGATACAGCCGAGGGTGAAAAAGGAAAACTCTCGCGCCGACGAATCCGCTTGATAATTCCTCTCTCCTTCATCATCATCATCACATGTTTGCTTTTCATTTTACACAAAAAAAAAACAATTATTTACAGGATAGATTTCTGTATTTTTCAGTTTCTATTTTAAAAACGCAAAAAAAATCATTGTTTTTTTTTATGGTGGTCCTTTGTTTAGGGGGATCGGAGTGTGGGAATTAAATTGTTACAGCTGTATGTTATAGTAGAGGAACATAAAGAAAGGGTATAATTGGGTTTATTTATGTAATAAGTTATGGGTTATGATCATGCTGGAAAGTCTTTAGAGAGCAGATCTTAGCCGCTGGATTTTATAATCAAGGAATGAAACCTGTGATAACATAATTTTTTTTTCTCTTTTTATTTTCTACCTTTTTGTCCTTCACTTTTTTTTCTGTTACTTTAATATGTTTTTTACTATTTCATGCCAAATCCACGAATGTTGAATGTTGAGTAGAGATGAAATTGAATTAAAGTATTAAACCGAAAGTCTGTACCCTGGAACAAAATCTCAAAACCGGATTTGCCTTTGTCAAAAATAACTTTATATCGTGTTTATCCGAATCTCAGTAAACCAAAAGAAAGGAAGATAACCATTGGCATTGAACCCCTATTTTTTTTTTCTTTTGTTCTTAACCATGTATTTTAGTTTTGCTTTTGTTGAAATGTTAAATTTATTTACCAACAAAAGAAAAAAAGTTTACAATACAATATAATTTGAATATTTGGGAAATCATATCAGTTTAGGGAGAAAAAAACAACTATTCGTTCATTCTCATCCAACATATCGTCTGGTTACTGCAATTCTCCATGTTCCTGGAACGAAGAGAGGAGATACGATTGTGTATTGTCTTATCTATGAACCACGTGAGCTGCTGAGCTGTTTGGTAAGCACCAGTGTGTTTCCTGCTGTTTCGTTCCCTCCACACACTGTGTATTACAACTTGAAAGGTCAGTCGAAGAATACAAGAGTCGATGGTAGACCTGGGGGGCGATAACAGCGTTGTAACCATGATGCTCTAGGCTGGACTTGGTCTAGGTAAAAAGAACCTGCGAGTTTTGTCCAAATCGTGTATGAGTATGGACATGCGAAGAAGAGGTGATCGCGGGACTCATTTGGTTCACCACACAATCAACATGACTGATGCTCGCCCCATACTTGAGTGCGGTCACCAATTGAGAGCCTATTGCGGAGGGCCAGGCACGCGATAAAAGAGTAGCGGGGAATAGCATGTGAAAACCAGATTAGCTTGCTCTATTTCACTGTATCATTTTGCCTTTATACCTGATTCCAAGTGTTCTTCAACGAGAACCAACCTTTGTAGTCATTCTCCCCATGACGCCACAGCAAACAATCACTACCTGCCTCCTCTACCGGTGGTGGTACTGATTTGATGTGTGTAATCATCACCCGTAGGTGATTACTATGAAATCGCCTTAGGTTTCACCTTCCAAACGAGGCTGCAGACGTGACTGTTGCATAGCGTTGGATTCCCATGACCTGAGTACCAGATGCGCCTGCAATGTTGATCAGCTTGCCCATCTCCAACCAATTATCGAACCAGAAAAGAGTGTCTTTACCTTTATGGATTTCAGAGAGCAGAAATGTTGCTGCCTGCTCCCGAAGCTTGAGGAGCTTATGCCATATCCACGATCCATATGACTTATCACTTACATCCCAAAAGTAGTGATTTCTCAATAGGTTTCTTCTGGTCCAAGCAATCGAAAGCGAACCAGAGTTGGTAAGTAATCTCCATATCAACCATAACGCAAAAAACCTAGATGAAGCAGCCATACAATGGATGCCAAGACTGCCTTCATTTTTTGGTTTACATATATCCTCCCACGCGACTTTTGCTTTGGTGGTTGAGTTTGGTGATCCAGACCATAGGAAGGCACTGCATCGTAAAATGCTTGGCTGATTCTTCCTGCCATGTAGATAGAGGATTTTGCTGGGTAATTAGTGAGTACCGACTGATATTCCCATACTATTAACCGGAAGAGTATCGACTGATATTCCCATACTATTAACTTCATCACAAAATGCTTGGCTGATTCTTTCTGCCATGTAGATAGAGGACTTCGCTGGGTTTATAGTGAGACCTGATAAGCGCTTGAACTGATCTAAGACTGTAAAAAATTCCCCGTAGAGATTCAGTATTTCCGTCCGTGAAAATCATGATATCGTCTGCGGAGCTGAGATGCGTAAGATTCACTTCTGAACATGTAGGATGGTAACCCGTAGTTCCGGAGGATGCTGCTCTGTTCAGGAGTCGTGAGAGAACATTAATCGAAATGATAAAAAGGTACGAAGAGAGTGTGCAGCCTTGTTGAAATCCACAAATGCTAGGAAATAACCCCTCAAGTTCACCATTTATAGACACTGAAAAGGCAGCTGTAGAGAGAAAGACATGGATCCAATGCACAAACTGTTTTGGGATGTGCATAGCTCAAAGTGTATCCAGAATGCATGACCAGTTTACGGAGTCAAATTCCTTCGATATATCGAGCTTCAAAACACAGCGAGTGCCAATGGAATCCTTATGCTAGTTCTTTATTAGTTCTGTGGCCAGTAATACATTTTCTAGGAGAAGTCGCCCTTTGACAAAAGCACATTGATTTGGCTCAATCAACTCTGGTAGGAAAACTTTCAGACCATTGGCAAGGATTTTAGAAACAATTTGTAGAGGATGTTGCAGCAAGAGATAAGGAGAAAATACTTTTTAAGTTTCTGCTCCTTGAATCTTTGGAATAAGAGCAAGCAATGGTGAAGTCGCTACATATAATGGGCCAAGCAGATCGATAGAACTCAGCAGGGTATCTGTTCGGTCCCAGAGCCTTATTCGATGGCATTGCAAACAACACCTTCTTGATCTCTACTTCTGAAATAGGTCGAACGAGGATCTCTGAAATGTTTGCAAGACAGAGAAAGTCCAAGAGCTCGGAGAGACTGGGTATATCATCAGTTGCAGGAGGCGCTTGATCGAGAACTGGACTAAGAAATTGTGCGAAGTAAGATGAAGCGGCCTGCTTGATTGCAACATGGTCTATTATAGTCTCTCCACTTGCTAGAACCAGTTTCCTGATTGCATTATATGATGTCCTACTTTGCACAATCTTGTAGAAAAAGATGCGTTCTGATCGCCAAGCTTGAGCCATGTAATGCGAGATTTCTGCATGAGATATTGTTCCTCTATTCAGGCCCAATAGTTCCAACTCGACGTAGATTCTGCAACGGCTTTGAACGTAGCGGTGTCAGGATTCGCCAAAGCTTGTTCTTGTTTATCACATAGGTTCTGAAGAGCTTCTTTAGAACGAAGAGGGATGTCTCCAAATCTGGTCTTATTTAGGAGCCGAAGAGCAGGTTTCAGAAGCTTTAATTTATGGTGGAAAAGATGAAGACCAGAGCGTGAGTGAATAATGGGTCTGTCTCATTCCAGGTCTCAGCAACAACGGTGGCAAAGTCTGGATGATCAACTAGGAAGTTAAAAAACTTAAAAGGTCTTTTCTTCCCCACAGTTTGAGATTCCATAAAGACCTTGCAGCGAGTATGATCTGAAAACCCACACGGTTCAAACTATGCGTAGGACTGAGAGAATTGGTTAAACCAGATGTCATTTACGAGAACACGATCCAGCTTCTTAGCAATGGGATTTGCTGGTTGACTTTAGATCAGTAAGATTGCAGGTGGAGACTGCATATTGAAACTCTCACATTCCTCTTTGATGCCGAGGGTTAAGACCCGTGGAATGTTCAGAGGAATAAAGAGTCTCATTGAAGTCACCCATGAGTATCCAAGGCACTCCATGGTATGCGAACTGAGTATTATTTTAAATGAGATCTTCTCAGAGGTGTCGTCTCTCTTTCTGAAAGTTCGAAGCGTAAATATAGGAGCATAGGAATTCTTCTCCCATTGCAGAAGTTACCCAGACAATTATGATCTGTGCACTTTTGTAAAGGACGGTAATGCTGACGTTGTTAGACCACACGACCCAGATTTTCCCAAGTCGATGATGATCGTAGTTATTGAGATACTTCCAGCCTGGAAGAGTAGTAGTTATAATTCCTTCACATTTACTCTCTTGAACACGAGTTTCAATTAAGCAAACAAAGGAAGGAGTAGAAGATTGAATCCAAGAACGAAATGATTGATGTTTACGCTTTTTGTTAAAGCCCCATGTATTCCACGCAAAAAGGGATATCATCATTTAGTGCCTCCGGTTGGAGGCGCTTTTGTTTTTGGTTGTTTTGACATTTTTTTTGCCCACTCTGGCCTTGGTGAGATTCTCTTACTTTGTTTTGGGAGTTGGTCTTTACTTTTTCAACGTCCTGTATAATGGTTTTTACTTCCTTTTGAGGTGGATCAGAAGATTCTACTTCGCCCTCGCCAGAGCTACTACTCTCCAGCTAACCTTCTTCCATGTCATTAAGCATGTATGTATTAAGATGGTGAGCTTGTATGTGTGTCTCTCTCCGATGCGGTTTTCTGAGTTTCGCGTCGTGGAGAAGCTCTGTGAGCTTTTCCAACACCCTTCCAGTCGGTTTCTGTTGAGACAATCTCGCTATCATGTTGGCCAGTTGAGGGGTCAATTGCTCTCACAGTCGTGTTTACCTCATCAGGTAGAGGCAAGTTTGTTGTGTTCTGTTCCTCAAACTTTTCTGCACTCTGCTCTCCTACATCTACTCCTACTAGTGCTGCCCCGATAGCAATGTCTTTGTCCTTCTTCTGCTTGCCATTCTTTTCCGTGTGAGTAGCGTTTTTATTTGCCTCCTTTTTACCACATTCCTTCGCTGCATGGCTCCACTGCTGGCAGGATAGACACCAAGGAGGAAGCCAGGGGAAGCTAACGTCTATGCTCATATCAGTGCCTCTGATCGAGATGCGCTCTGGTAGTGGTTTCTCCAAGTTCAAAACCACCAGAAGGCGTGCAACACCCAGACGAGTGAAACGAAGTATATTAGGATGATTTTTTTGCAGTTCGGCCTACTATGTCTCCGAAGAACGTAAGTCCATTCTGAGAGAAGAGATGTCCTGGAACTCTTTTTAGATCAACCCATAAAGGAATGGCTGTAGATCAGGTTTGGACGCTTCCGTATCTGGAGTCCATTCCTGAACAACAAGTGAAATGTGTGCCATGTGCCAGAAGTGATGCCGCAAGACCCTAGATTTCATATGCTGATCTTCGATACGAAATGTTACCTTTTTAGAGAAATAAACTGAGCGTCAATCTTTGCAGGCTTCTCCTTTGAAGACCACAATCGATTGACAGTCGCATGAACCTTTCTGATGTGTGGAGGCGCGTCACCAATGAAGTGGCCCACAACATATGATGACCACAACGGTTTTGAATCCACAGTGAGATCCTATGGGAGGTCTACAACTGCAACAGTCGGTTCTCCTTGGTCTGAGGCGACCGAAGTCTTAGGATGCACAACAACGAGGTTACGCATTAGGGTTTTCTCACTCGCTGCAAAATCAGTCTCTGTTCACTCTATTTTAGTTTTTTTTTTAATATTGTTATCTTTACTTTCTTTTTCTTTTTCTTTGTCTTTCTTTTACAAATTTTAGTTTTTATTTTCTACAATTTTTGTTTGGGAACGATTTGGATCT